CCACCGCCGCCGACATCTACTCCACCACGTCTCGTACACGTCGAAAGCGAGAATGGTATGGGTGACGCTTGTGGCACAGCGCACTGTCTACACATTTTGGTCCATACGCGGTCGGACACACAGTATCGACGGAGGTTTTCAAATGCATCGATGTTGTCGGGTGGACTGGTGGTGATTCTTTTGAGACGCGGCTTCCAATGCCAAGTGACATTTTTATTTCAGACATGTTAGATGTGGTAAGCGGCGACATCGCGCCAGACACGCCACATGGGATGGATGATGCAGGCTGCTTTGAATTGGCAGTGTTCTCATCGGCAGTTGTTCTCAGAGGTAGGTACCATATGCCGGTAAGAGGGTATCACATCAGTGGTGAAGGTTATGGTCGGTCACATTGCAGATGTTTGTTGACATCTTCCAAACGCTTGTCACAATAATTCGGACTATGGCAGCCTGGAAGCGTATGGAAGCATCGCGATATTGCAATTTGAACACATTGCTGCGGTCTTCTCAACATTGCAAAGGGATGGGACGCATGCTGTAGAGTTCTTTAGTGACCACCTCACGTACGACACCGGTGGCGGCCTCGACATAGACGTCACATAGGTTAGCAATGCTACGCTCAACCATGCAATGCCTGAGTTGTATGCGCACCAAGATTCGTGCGATAGCGAAGCTATTGCACAGAGTCACGGTCGGATGGACATCATCGCGTTAGGTTACTCTGCAGTTGCCGCTCTTGAAGGCTTAGTTTGGGTTCGGGGTGTCACCGAGTCCAGGCTCCGTCCTGCATAGTCGGATACGATACCGTGAGTTGCAAACTTGACAGTTCTATGGTGGCATTTATTTATCAGCTTGAGCCAAGGGTTACGGACGGCTCAAGCGGCACGCGGCACAAGGACGCGGCACCGGCCGCGCGAACCCTTTCGCCGCACCCGCGGCGAAACATTTCGGCGCACTGGTGCTTGCGTCGGCGGGTAAACCGAGGATTTTTCGGTTCCTGCCCTCGCGAGCATAGCCATGGCGCAGCGCTACACCACCGGCGCAGCGGCCGAGGACGCGAGCAGGGACCTGACCCAGGATTTCGGCGACCTGCCTGGTGCGTCTGCGGCGGTCGCGACGACGACGACCGACCACGCCTGTGGTTGCGAAGGCGCCGATGGCACCGGCGGCAGCGACGACGGCCACGACCATGGCCGCGACGGCGGCGGCGAAGACGACGGCGGACGACGACGCGGTGCGCGCGCGCAGCCTCGCCCTGCGGCCCGTGGGCGACGTGGCGCAGGCGGGGTACCAGTTCTCGTGCGTCGAGGACCCCGGCGGGCGGGCAGGGCGGGCGGGCGGTCGTCGTCGCCACCGTGGGGGGAGGACTCCCGGTGGACTGGGCGGCTGCGGCGCGAGGTGCAGTGCGGCTGCGACCAGAAGTGCAGCCACGCGTGAGGTCTCTTCGGGGGTCTCGTGGGGGCCATCTCTGGGCCTCCTGTGGGCTTCCTGGCCGTCTCGGAGGCCATCTTGGGGTGCATGGCTCCAAGGGTCAGGGTCAGTTCGTGTTCCCCTTCTTGGGCCCCTCTTGGGGCCGTCTCTGAAGGGCTCGGAGACCGTCTTGAGGCGGTCTTGGGGGGTCTTGGGCCGTCTCGGGCGCTCTTATCACCAGGCGATGGGGCCAACATCATTTAAACTTGAATAGCTATTCAATGATTTGTTCCGAGGACCACGAAAGACGGCCCAAGAGGCGCTCAAGAGAGTTCCAGGACGGGATCTAGGACCATCTTAAACCGTGTCGGGCGTGTGGAATTTCAGCCACGCTCCCGAGCCCTTCCCAAGAGCGCCCAGCAGCGCCTAGGCGCGTCCGTGTCTCCGGGCCCTGGGCCCCTTCTTTGAAGGGGCCCAGGGCCTGGACCTGAAGGGAGCACCTGAAGGGACCTGAGGACACTCCACTCAGCGCCTAATTTCGGGACGGTGGCGGATTTTCGGCCTCGGGAGGCCGTTTCCTGGTCTCGCGGTGCTTCAAGAAGCGGCTGGGATGAAAAGCTGTTTCCGGGAAAGGGCTCGAGATATTTGAGCGGATCTTTAGCAGAGGATGGAGGAGGATTCAAGATCGAGGATGCTCGCCCTCGTTCTCTTCGTCCTCGTCCTTGTGCTTCTCTTCCTCCTCGTTGTCCTCATGCTCCTCCTCGCTATCCTCACGTTCTACACCTCGTCCTTGTCATCGCCTCCTCGTCGCACTCGCCTTCCTTTTCTTGTTTTTTTTCGCCCAAGCGCCTAAAGCGATGCTTCCCATTATTGTCCGATCAGGCCGAGGGTGAAGATTCTTGGGCGTTTTTGCTGGCCCCTCCGGCGCCCTCCGGCGCCCTCGTGGCCGCGCTTGGCTCCGCTCCGACACTCTCGCCCGAACGCGCCCCGCCGTTGCCCTTGCCCTCGTCGTCGCCGCCGCTCACCGCCACCGCCGCCGCCGCCGCCGCCGCCGCCGCCGCCGCCGCCGTCGTCGTCGTCGTCGTCGTCGTCGTCGTCGTCGTCGTCGTCGTCGTCGTCGTCGTCGTCGTCGTCGTCGTCGTCGTTGGCGTCGTCGTCGTCGTCGTCGTCGTCGTCGTCGTCGTCGCCGCTGCCGCCGCCGCCGCCGCCGTGGTCGGCGTCGTAGCCGAGCCCCTCGGCGGCCCTCGGCGATCCTTCGTTGATGCCGCCGCTGCTGCCGACCTCGCCGCAGTCGCCGCCGCCGCCGCAGTCGTCGTCGACGCCGCCGCCGCCGCCGCAGTCGCCGCCGACGTCGTGGTCGTCGCCGTCGGCGTCGCCGTCCGCTGCCGCGCGGCGCCCGAGGGCGAGGCCTCGCTCGGCCAGGCGCTCGCGGCCGTTCAGGGCGCCAAGCAGGCCTCGCGCGCGCGCGCGGGCGCCGTGCGGGCGCCGCGCGGCGGCCCGCAGCCCTGTGCGGTCGGCGCTGTCGTCGCTCGCCGTTGCCGTCGTCGTGCTCATGGTGGTCGGCGATGTCGACGTTGTGTTTCGTGTTCGTTCTCGTTGTCGTCACGTCGTCGTCGTCGTCGTCGTCGTCGTCGTCATCGTCGTTCTCGTGGTGGTGGTGGTGGTGGCGGTGTTGGCTGTCGTCGTCGTCGTCGTCGTCGTCGCCGTTGTTTATTGATCGTCGTCGTCGTCGTCATCGTCGTCGTCACTTCCGTCGTCGTCGTCGTCGTCGTCGTCGTCGTCGTCGTCGTCGTCCGTCGTCGTTGTCGTCGCCGTCGTCGTCGTCGTCGTCGTCGTCGTCGTCGTCGTCGTTGTCGTTCTCGCGGTAGTGGTGGTGGTGGTAGTGGTGGTGGTGGTGGTGTTGGCTGTCGTCGTCGTGGTCGTCGTTGTTTGATCGTCGTTGTCGTCGTCGTCGTCGCCGCCGCTGTCGTCGTCGTCGTCGTCGTCGTCTTCGTCGTCGTTGTTATTGTCGGCGACGGCATCCGTCGGCGTCTTCGTCGTCGTCGCTGTTGTCGACGTCGACATTCGTCGGCGTGTCTGTCATCGTGGACGTCCACTGTCACTGTCGTCCGCGTAGTCGTCCTGCTCCCGCCTGCTCTTCGTATTCCTTCTGGATGGATCCCACTTTGCGACGAGGGAGTGTAATTGTGCTGTTCCAGCTCCGCCTCGTCTTCCTCCTCCACTTTCTCCTGCGTTTCTTCGTTTCCCTCCGCTTGCTATCAAATTGTTGTTGCTCTGTCTCCGCTCTATCCCATTATTATCTTCCTTCTCGTTCTCTTACTCCTCTTTCTCCTTCTCGGATGGTTCAGCTTCCCTCCTTCTCCTTCGCCTTCCCCTCTCCTGTTCCTGTTTCTCTCCCCTTCCTCCCCCTCCTCCCCTCCCTCCTCCTTCTCCTCCAGCCGCCGCCACGGCCCAGACACCCGCGAGCGGCCCACCCCCACCCACAGTCATCACAGATCTTTGACGTGTGGAACACAGGGCGCATCGACGGGAACGGGGCCGCTCAGGGCGGCGCAGAGAAATCCCACTCAGCAGTCCGCTACCGAACCCCCGCCGAGTGTATGTCACTTTCCAGTTTCTTCTTACATTGCGTGCTGCGCCACGCCCGCTTCGCCGCCGAGGAACGAAACACGAAGATAGTGTACCACAACGTGCAGTGGGCGGACTACACTCGCCTTGAGGAGATCTCGATGCAGACGGCCAACATTGACGTCTACGCTGCCATAGGGACGGGCAGGGCAGCGCGAGACGATGACTACACGAAGTGCCAGTTGCCTAATCACCAATGCATTCAGTTCGGGTGGAGAAAGGCGGCCAGCGTCAACAACTCATGCGGACTGGCAGTACTATTGAATAAACGGCTCAGTGGCAGGGTTCAGAGAGTGGTAGCGCCGCCTACGACGAGTGGCATCACAGGGCGGATTGGCATGATTACAGTCACCGTGGGCACAATAGACCTGGCGCTGTTCCCTACCTACATCCCACCGCGGGGCATGGCCGTCAACACCCATAAGGGCATCACTAGAAACATTCTTAAGTGGACCCAGAGCGAGCTTGACAAGCTTGGGCACAACTGCCTCCCTATCATCTTGGGTGACTACAACTGCGCCTTTGGAATGCGACGAGATACGACAGGAAGAAAATACATAGAGGCCACCGAGTCCATCGGTATTGAGGAGCCCGCCCTAGAGAACATTACCAGCTCGCAGATGCGAGACTTTCTGGATGACGACCACTTGGCGATCACGGACACCTTTAGACGGACGGGGCCCACTTACTACGGAGGCGCCCGCACAAGCAAGATAGACCACGTAGCCCTGCCAGCGACTGCCTTGTGCAGGGTCCGTCAAACCAACCCCTTGCTTGGCTTGGCGAGACGACTGCAGCTACACGTCTCCGCGCACTTGGCCGACCACGTGCCGATGTGCATGAACTTGGATGTGCGCATCGCCAAGACTCACATCAGCAAGCTCGCGCCACATGCCAACCGCGACTTGATGATGATCGTATATACACGGGGCTACAAGCGCCTGGAGATCTCAAAAAAAGTTGAGGAGACGACTCAGCAGATAGACGAGACGGAGTGGCGACAAGCATGGGGCCAAGGCAACGTGCAAAAGTGGTGGGACATGGTTTCTAACAACATTCTTGAAGCTATGCAGGAGACGTTTCCCAAGCATGAACAGGACATCACAGGATACGACGAGATGCGACAGCAACGGATGCACCTGCTTGAGAAGCGATCCCAACTCCGAGCTGCCACGCATCACAGCGGCATCAAAAGCTACAGAGGCGATGGCTACACTGAGTTCGATGAGATAGAAGAACAGCTCAAGGCCCTTTCACGGAAGTTGCAGGTGCTTCGGCGGCGGCAGAAGACGGAGAAGACAGAGAAGCTGGTGGGTCAGATCGGAGCAGCATGGAAACACCACCGTCATGCCGAACTACACCGCCTCAGAGTCGCACTAGCCAACGCAGGGCGCGGACCGAAGAAGCGCAACCTGTGCGCGCCGCGCACAGGGATGCCAGTATCACAGTGGGACCACGGACTGAGCCGACCGCCGCAGTTGGGGGGAACGCATTGCGAGAAGATCGATTGGCAGGAGTGGATCGCTGACCGCACCTTCATGCCGCATATTCGCGAGAACAGATTCGCCAGGATCGGGCAGGCCAGATTCGAAACCTACGACGGGCCCCCAAACGACGAGCAGGGCCTGCATGGGGAGTTCTATCGGAGGCGTTATGCATGTGCATTGATAGGCGATACCACGTGAGCGAGCACGACCAGAAGTACAACCCAGAGCACTTCAGCAGGCGGTACGACGACTTACTAGCTCTGATCCGCTTGTAGGATCAGCCCCGCTGAGCGCCATTCGCTCGCATTCGTTTTCCCAGGCCAAGGGCAACAACAAGCTCGGGGTCCAGGGGCAGCGTATCCTTCACTGCTTCGACGCGTTTGGCATGTCGTACTTTGGACAGCTTCAGAAGACCTCCAGGAGACCGCCCCCCCGCCCCCCCCCCCCCCCGACCTTGCACATGGGGGGCTACCAGGGAGGCGACGGGAAGGGTGCATTTTGAGTTTATTTACAGCATGCTGGCGATGTAGGCAAGCTAAAGTGAGCCATGCCATTTGCAACTATGACGGCACAAACGCATTCGCATGCACAGACAGAAGAGCGCTCGACGAACATCATGCACGTGCGGCACGACGAGAGAACGTGCACCTACTACAGCAAGCAATTAGGCAAGCAACAGTTCACGTAGAGGCCCACGACGGTGCAGCAGATTGTGAGCCGCACAGCGGCACCGCGATTGGCCACTCGCTTGCTGCAGGCGACTTCGTTGACATTTGCTCTCCCACAGCTTCAGAGTGGAATGCGCAGCTGGGCGCGACAGACACCAGCTACACGTGGCTGGCGGGTCGCTGCCCAGTATCCAGAGAGGTGGTTGACATAGGAGTTGGTCTTTTCGTTGACGACGTGTCGCGCGTACATATACATGCCTATGCACCGCGTGCACGCCGCGTCATGATGCAGCTGAACCGCGCCGCGCGCGAGCTCCAGGCACACATGCAGAAGAACGGCCACCACTTGAGCGCAGATAAGACCAACCACCTCATCTGCATGCACGGATCGGGACCCTTTGAATCATCCAGGGGCCTAGTTCGTCAAAGTCGCGTCCTCGGGGCAGTTTGTCGGGAAGCGCGTGTTCCCGGGCCGATCCTTAGCTTCGACGGGGTACTCAGGGCGGAACTCAGGAACCGCATCAAAGGAGCCCGTGCTGCGTGTAGATCACTAGAAGAGGTTTGGAGGCAGCCCCTGCACCACAAGTTGTTTCGCGCGCTCTTCTTGTGCTTTGTGTGCAGCGCCGCGATCGCGGGCCTCGCAGCGTTTGTGCTGCCAGCGGGGTTCACGGATAAGTTAGATTCCGTGTTGGTCCGCATGCTCCGCTACTTGATGCATGGCAAGCCCAAACATGAGTGCGAGGGCCGAGTCAGGACTATTGCAAACAGTGCAGTATTCCGCCACGGGGACATTAGCCGAACCGCGATCGAGCTTCGAGCGCAGCGCTTGGGATGGTGGCAGCAGATCTCTAAGGCCCCACAGAATCACAAACAGGTCCTCGCAGCCATGTTTGGGACGTTGGAAATCGATCGACTCCTCGAGCTCCCGAGACTTACGAGCGGCGGGGGGCTCACAGAACACAGTGCCCCTTGGGCCCAGCAGTTTAGAGACGACCTGGAGGGCCTTGCTAATGCAGATCCGAGGATTGCGAGAATTTGGGCGAACAGAAGTAATCTCCTCCAGATCTTTGAAGACCCAGAGGTTCGCGAGGAATTCAACGAAATCAAGATAGGCACCCATCGAGACCTCCTCAGCCCCGAAGGCGCCCGACGAGCAGCCCGACCTCAGAGCGATGACGGAGAAGCGGATGACGACAGCAGCATTACAGACGAGTACGCATGCGCGCACGGGATGGGGGAGGAGGGCGAGGGCAGATGCTGCGGAATGACATTCGCGACGGTCAAGGCATTCACGGCGCACATCGCGCACGCGCGCCACGTGCGCAACCTGCGCCCCGTGATCATCAGCGCGAACGTGTGTCCATGGTGTCGTACAGCATTTGCGAGCCGAGCATCATGTCTGCGCCGCGTCATCACCATGTCGAAGTCGCACCCGCTGCGTTGCCCAACTCGAACCGCTTCATTTGTATTCAAACCCGGCCAACGGGATGTGTTCACGCGCGGCTACTGCGGCCGCGAGGATTCGAACATTGAGGAGCATCTCGGGCACGTCACTGCTCACTGCCCTGGCCCTTGCGATGTCGTGGAGAGCCACCGCAGGCGGAAGCAGGCCGCGCAGTCAGACGGCGGAGGCAGCCGCGGCGACCCTGGCACCACGCCAGAAGCAGGCACGTGGAGGGCCGAAGAAGGCCACTGGCAAAGAGAGTGGCTCAGGCGACCACAACGACGAAGAGATCATGCTGACGCAGAAGCTGACGCTCAACAACGCGCAGATGATCAGCCAGCTGTCAGGCAGCCTTTGGGACTTCTTCCTGATCCCAGGCGAGCACTCAGCAGTGGCCGCCGCGGTAGCAGCGGGCACAACCTACGCAGAGAAGGCCAAGGAGAAGAACAACAAGGACCTGGGGCCTCCGCACCTCCACATCGGCGTAGATTTCTTTTTGGAGATGGGGCTCAACGGCAACGCCGAGGGGAACAACAAGACGATCCTGACGGGGTTCCGCCTGCTGATCGACGTGCTGGGCACGCAGGGCTTCGGGGACATCGCCTCATATTTCAAAATCAAGAAGGCCTACAGCGAGGCGGGACAGCCAGAGAGATGTAAGCTCTACCTCATGGTCCACAGCCTCGCCTGCAGCCCGTGGACAGCATCCTGGGAGGACCAGATCAACGCCATTCGAGAAGGAAGCCAGGGGCCGCACGTCAAGATAAGTCGCACCGCGCAGATCGGGGACCTCAGGAAAGCCGTCGTGGACACACTGCAAGCAGCAGGGGCAGAGCAGATATTCGGAGCACCACCGCCATCAGGACTCGAGAGGAACGTGCAGGCAGCACTGCGGGCGCGGCAAGTGGCGATGGAGGGGTAGAGATGACAGGACTGAGAGAGCTCGCCAGGGCAGGCAGTCGTGGGGCGATGGATTTGCTGCGACGCATTGCCCGCCCGTGACGGCCCCTCTTGTTTCGTATAGGCGAAGTTGTTAAATACATGTCTCGGAGACTTAGGCGCCAAAGGGTGCTTCATTTTTTTCTTTCTCTGCTTCCCGCGGCGCTGGCCCGTTTCGGTTGGTCCCCTAGCGGACCTTTGGATCCGTCAAACCACGGGTGCCTGGACCGCGGGACCAGACACCAGACATGTGAACAACGGCGGAGCGCGCAGCAGCATTTGTTTGTGGAACTTGGGAGTGGGGGGGACGTTGGAGCGGGGAGAGGAGGCGGCGGGACGACTGCTACACTGGGACACGTCCCGAGTCAGGGGCGATGGGCCCGAAGGCCCAGGGGCGATGGGCCCGAAGGCCCTGAGCCCCTGCCGGATCCATCGCAGTTTTGTTTTTTTCGGGAAGGCCCCGCGCTGCAGCGGGCCGAGAGGCTAAAAAGCCAAGGGTCCCGTAGGCGACCCGCCGATTCGCCGATCTGACGCGCCAGCAGCAACAGGTTCGTATGCAGTCGAACCCCAGACAGCTGCCAAGGCTTCCGACTCCGACTCCGACTCCTCCCCCTCCTCCTCCTCCCCCTCCTCCTCTCATCCTCTCCTCCTCCTGCTCACTCCGCCTCCTCTTCCTCCTCCCTTCTCCTCTGCTCATCTTCTTCTTTCTTTCACTTCATCCCCATGCTGCTGTGATCCCCATTTTTCTTCTCATCTTGTCGTCGTCGTCATCGTGCGTTCCGTCGTTTTGTCGTCGTCGTTTCTCCCTTCCTTCTCTATTCTCCTCTCTCCTCATTCCTCCCCTCTGCTCCTCCCTCGGGCCGTGGGCAATCTCTGACGCCCCTACACCCGTGGGCCAAGAAACCGGCCCGGGTCGACCGATCTCACTCCTCTCCCTTTTCCTCCTCCCTCCTCCTTGCTCCCTCCTCCTCCTTCTCCTCTCCTTCTCCTCCTCATCCCCTTGTCGCGTGCGTTAAGGCGTTGGTGGGGAGATGATTCTTAGAAAAGTTGTTTATGGAAGCCGCGAGGTGGGGATAATTTTAGGGGGATTGTTGAGAAGGCGAAGGCCTTTCAGAAGGCGGCGGGGGGGAGGTGGGGTTGGGCCCGGGGCTTTCAGATAACCCTCCGTCCGGCACCTTGGCCTGATGCAGTTTGTATTATTTATTGACAGCGAATAATAGAAAGTGGATAGGGGGGTTTCTAGTGGATGCCAAGAAGAGAGCATCATGACTCCTGAGGTGGGGTCGGGGATTGGGGGGGGGGGGGCGGACCGGGTTAGCGGGCCCTGCAGTCGAAGCCAAATCGCAAACGGACTTCCTCCGCAAAATCGCTTTGGCGCTGCTAGAACTCCACTCCGGGGCCAGTTGAAAGCCCGGAGCCAACTGGTAGGCCACTTCGTGGTCTTTTTCTTTCGGTTCCAGAACCAGAAAAGAGAAAGTACTCCATTCCCGGCGGCGTTACATTTTGGTTATTTTGCCCGGAAGCCATATGTAGGCCACTTTTCGTCGTCTCGAGATTCCAAAAACTATTCAGACATATCATTTTGGATGTTGCTCGGAGCCAACCTGAATGCCCGGAGCAAAACTGTAGGCCACTTCGTGGTCATCGAGTTTCCAGAATTCCATTCCCGGGCCACATTTTGGGTGCCCGGAGCCAACTATAGGCCACTTCGTGGTCTTCGAGTTCCCAGAACTCCACTCCCGGGCCACATTTTGGATGTCCGGAGCCAACTGTAAGCCACTTCGTATTCTTCAAGCTCCGAGAATTTCATTTCTGGGCCATATTTTGCTTACTGGATGTCTCCGTCAGGACAGTGCATTTTTATTTAACAGCGAAGACTGATAGGTTTCTAGTGGTGTCAAAAGACAGCATCTGATGACTCAGAAGGGAGGTTTGGGCGGCATCCGGACAGCGAGGGCCGGGCTCAGGGCCGGGCTCGTTTTAAGCAAACAGTCGCACATTTCGTGCTCTTCGACTTCCCAGAACTCCATTCCCGGGCCACA